TGATAAATGCAATGCTAAAAATCCCCTTTTGGTACTCTTTAGGTGCTTAAAAGGTTATGGTTACTGTGCATAATGCTGTTAATGAACAGTGTTGGACATCTGTCTGTGTGCTGGACAGTTTGAGGGGTAGAACAAGGTACTGGAAAACTCTTACAAGAAGGAAGAGTGTTTGTTCAAGTGTTTTAAAGAAAAAGACATCCTCAGTGGAATAAATAATTGCTGTGCTTTGAAGTATCTTTATTTTCCACAACCCTTTTCTCTCATTATGGTGTTACTAGCTCTTTTGCAAGTAAGTGAGAATAGCAGTGTCATGTATGATACATAAAAAATACAGTGGGTTATAGAAGCAGTACTTGTTTAGAAATACAGGAAAACTATTATGGAAGTCTAATATTTGAAATTAAATATTTTCATAGCTTCTGGTAATGTTTTCAGAATAAACACTTTTAATATTTCACACAGGTTGATCACTAAGAGTTTAACAGAGACTTACTTACTGAGCAGAACTTTACTCTTTCTCTGTAAGGATATCTGCAAATGAGCCAATTAAGTATGATCTGATGCTTTTTTTTCTTTTCAGAAAGATGAAGGTAGTGATGCTAGTTTGAGTGATAGCCACATATCTCCTCCTGCCAAACGTACCTCAAAACATGCTGATCCTGTGTGCAAAGACAAATCAAAATCACGCAGTACTGGGCAGCGAGAGGAATGGAGCATCTCAGCTGGACAGTCCAGGTAATTGGTGCCAAGAGAAGAAGGAACTCAACCAATTTTTTCTTATGCTGTTTCTGCAGTCAGCTGCAGCTCAGGAGTGTACTTCTGAAGCATGTTATTTTCACACAGGTTTTTTCAGTTTAAGACCCCAGGAATGTGGGTTGCATCAGTCCTCTCATTTCTGTTTCCTTTCTATGCATATTTGTGCAGAAAATGTAAAGTAATTTTATTTGATATGCAGTATGAATTTTAGATTTTTGATGCATCCAAATTTAGTAATGTAATTGGTATCTTTATGTACTCAAGCTCTAAGAAGACATGACATTTTAATTAGGGAATATGAGTTACTGTCTTTGGAGAATGGGTAATGGTCAAGTTTATTTGTATTGTTGTTCAGCCTACTAAGTAAATTTTACTGAATATAGCCTCAGTCCTGCCACATTTTTATAACTTGAAGCAGAAGTAATTAATGTTATTTTATAACTCTAATAGTATTTTACAAAGCATCCTTGTGTTCATAAGGTTCCTCACATGATTACAGGTAACTGTGAGACAGTGTACACAGTATGTTCCTGATCCATGAACTTTCAGTTAATACTGATTCTTCTGTAGATATGTATTTCATATTTATGTACATGTCAAAATCGTTCTTGCAATGATTTGTATGTAAGAGTGACTCTAAATCACTACTGGGCTGTCGACTGCTAGGATGAAGTTTGCTTAATGGCTTTGTAAATCTCAAAGTAGACCTCTTCTTATGTTAATTTTTCTCTTTTAAAACAGAATTAATTAAAACTAGCATATTAATGTACCATGGTCATTGGGAACTCGTTGCACCTTCTGTTTCTTTTGTTTATAACAGTAGACTTGTACTGGATCTCCTAGTAATGTCCATGTACAAAAATAAATACTGAATGCAGCTGGGAGAATTTAGACCATTGTGTCAAATGAAATTTGGCCAGGGTACTTAAAATCATATTGTTGCTCATTTAGAACCCACTGCAACATGTCTTTGCATCTGAAGTTTTATGTTGTTTCTGCCAAAATCCAAAGCTCTGTGATCTTGAGTCATTAAAAGTTTCCTAAAAGTTCTGTTACTTTTACTGGTTTATCCAAGGTGTTGAAATCCAAGGTTGCCTTTGAAGAGCTATACTAAGGTTCTGTTCTGAAATTTAAAGAGAGAATTAACAGGACAAGGGCATGAAGAAAGATTAGTGAGTTTGATCAAAGAGATGCTTAGTTGGGGGGGGATTCATATAATCGGTATTGAGCAGTTTTGTCCTTACTAAGGTCTTGGGCATGAAGCAGACTCTTCCAAGGGTATGCCTTGCAAAGGGTTTGAAATCAGAGTATCATGGAGCATTTTACAGTCAAATTCTGTTTTCACTCTATGCCTTTTGCTTGGCTAAAAAAAGGTAATGTTATTTGTGTGTCTAATTGTCTCCTAGGTTAACTTCTCAGCCTGGTGCTACATTACCAAATGGACGTAGCTTATGTAAGTGAATTGTAGCAAAACAGTTTTATGTCAGTGATTTTCAGTGTTTCATGTTTTTGATAACTTTACTGATTCCTTTGACCGTTTTGACCAGAAAAGTTAATGCTCAGTTTTTTCCTGTTGCCTTCTTGGATACTCTCTGTGGATATGGGGAATATTTTTAGATGAAAATCCGTTTCTCTTCTCAATTCAGACCTCTTGGCCATGATCTCGATGTTTTCCTTAATTCCCAAATTACTGTTATGAACTAATTTTGGCCTTCCTCTCTCAGTTGGTCTCTTTAATTTACTCAGTCTCTTTGCTCATCTGAAATTTGGCCTTCTGTGGTTCTTAACATTACTTAACTCTATTGCTTTAGAGAGACCTGCCTTGTCTGCAGCTCCTGCTACCTTGAACAGTCTTCCTAAAAGCTTGTACCTTACAAACTTGCCATTTCATTGCTTCTCTCAGCTAGAACCACTTTGTCTTTTATGTCCCTTTTTCATCAGTTCTGTCTTGTTTAATTTTGACTCTATGTAAGTGTTATTTCATTAAGCATATTTAGTATTTTATTATTTATTGTGATGCCTGAGGGACAATTAGCAGTGGGATCTCTTTGTTTGGCACTGTACAGAGTAGCTGGTATAGATCTGCTTGTGAAGTCAATATGTTGTATCTGACCTTTTGATACTATATTTGAAAGATTAGGAATTGAAGCTTTGGGCCAAGTATGCTTTTTTATGGTAGTGAGTATTGATGTTAACTTAAAAATATTGAATGCTTAATTGAATGCCAAATTTTAATAATAAAATAAGACTATTATCTAACGAAATAAGCTTGAATATGCAAAAATAACTTTTAAAATAACTTTGATAGGAATTAAATACAGTTCTTCAGTTCATATTCTGCTTAATAACTTTCGGTTTATTGTCCTTGCTAAGTATTCTCTTATTAATTCTTGTTTGTGAAAATGTTGTTTCCTGCATTTTGAAGTAGTAATACAAATTTCTCTTAGCTCTCAAAAGCCACCCCCTTCGAGGGGAAAAAAAGGGAGATGGGGACCATGCTTGCATAAACGGAGATATAGAAGTCAGAAAAAGTTGTCGGTCCAGGAAAAACAGATTTGAAACTTTGAATCAGAGTTTATTGTTTGATCAGCTAGTAAACAGGTATGTGGGGATACTACAGTTGTATTCACAAAGCACCTTAATGATTTTTAAAATTAGAAACCCCTGTGTTCCAGTGCCATGTCTGTGTTTTACTGTGGGGATGCATTGAGACAAGCTAGACTGTGGTTTGAGTTACAGCTGCATCTGTGCTGTGACTGCCATGGTATCTGTGTTCTAAATGCAGAGTAACTTCCCAGGCTTTCATTGAGGAGTAAGTTACTCTGTATTTACACCTGGATGAAGCTGTATGTTGGCAGTTACTGCAGAGTGCCTAATGTGCTGTAAATCCACACCCTAGTTTGTTTCTTGGTAACCTGTTTATGTAGTGATACTTTAAATGTCATGTAAATTGGTGATTAGCAGTAGTATTTGGAAGCTTTCTAGATTTTGCTTGTATGATTTTGATCATAATATATCAGAAGTTTGTAGCTTTCTTTTGTTTTTGTTTTTTACCATTTGTTAAAAATTCACATAGGGTGGGTGTCACTTTTTGACATTTACTGTGCAGACAAAGTAGGTCAGACAGGGAGGCATGGTCTGGTCTGAGCATAGGAATGGGAGCCAGAAATGGTTTTTTTTAAAATACTATTTCTTTGTAGCCCTGGGCAGGTTACTTAATATGTCCTGATCTTCCCACCTGTAAAACAGGTTTTAGCTGTCATATCTGTGAGAGACTGCTTTCTCCAGTGCTGGAAAATGATTTAAACATAAACATTTAATTGTCAAGTATGATCTTTATTTTTAAATGTATTCTGTTGAATCTTTTATTAATTTAATTTTCTATTTGAACTTACTCAGTAACTACTTAGTATCACTTTGCAAACTTATATTGAGTTACATTTATTTTTCTAGTTGCAGTTGAATCTCTCTCTCCTTATCAACAGTAGGAAAAAGTCTACCATGAAGGTTGTAATTTGATAAAATCATGGTATTGAAGTCTGTATATGAGCTTATACTGATAAAAGTGTGTCCCATAATCATTGGAGGTTTTTAAGAGCAGGTTAGACAAAAGTCTGTCAGGAATGATTTAGGCATTCTGCAGTGTGCTCTCACCTGGCAGAGCATGTGGGCTTTTCCAGGTCCCTTCCAACCCTATTTTCTTTGGTAGCAAACTGCAGATGATTTTACTTTAAACAGTTCTGTCACACATGACAGATATTTTGGAAGAATTGTTTAAAATGGAGAGGAACTCTCATAATAAAAACGTGATTTTACTGACTTATGTCACCAGAACTTCCACTGTCTTCTAAGCAGTCTTTCGCCCTTTCGATTTACTTTTAAACAGCATGAAAAAAAGGAATTGAAGGTTTCTGTCTTACAAATATTATACAAATATAGTGGAATTCCTGTTGAAAGCTATTCTAATTGCCATGGAGAGTAATAACATGGTCTTCAGGACAGGTGGCCAAATAATTGAGTTGACCTGGCTAATACTGTGCTGTTCTTTTGCTTGAGCAGTGAAGCGTCTTGGCCAGGGTTATCACTTATATACCACTGCTGTTTTGACAGCTGTTTACAAACACTCCAGATAATGAAAATGCTGACTAAATAGTAGATGAGAAATGGTATTGAGTATTCAAACACTGAATTATGAGATTCTAGATGTTACTAGTTTAACAAAAAGAAAATCCTTTATGTTCTAGTGTCTTTTTGGGCCAGGGTAAGACAGAGTAAAGCTTATGGGGTGGAGACATTAATTGCATTCCCATTATTGTAATTATTATAGGTGAAGAGCTTTACTTCCTTTTGCAAATTTAGTCTTACATGATGCCTAATCTAATGTCTCAGCAGTTGCAAATTTATATGCTACAATTTATACTGAGCCAAATTCTTTTAAAAAGTTTGTTAAAATACTGCTGTCTAATTTGAACCCCAAACTTTCATAGCATCAGCATTTCTTCTTTTACATACTTCTTAGTTTATAGCCTTTCAGTTTTAGTATGGTTAGGTTGTAGCTAATTGATAGACAACTTAAGATGTTGAATGCTATGTCTAATGTTCTGCATGTTACTGTTTTAAGACTGATTTTTTGTGTGTGTTAACTGTTGCATATATTTTAGTACTGCTGAAGCTGTCCTACAGGAAATGGATAATATTAACATCAGGAGGAACAGGCGATCTGGGGAAGTAGAACGGCTGCGGATGTGGACAGATACAGAATTTGTAAGTGCAGAGTTTCTGAGATCTTGGAAAAGTCATATCACAGCAAAGCTTGTCTGTTTTTGCAAACACCATACATTTGTCTGTAGCTCTGTCTAAAGGTTTGTGATTTTCTTCAGTGGGTAACAGTAAAAAACATGATAAACTAAACCATGATAATCTAAAATTCAGACCTAAATTAGTGGATATGCTTTACATTGTTTTCTTTATTGATAATTCACTGTCATGCTCTCATGATGTCTTGTGGTGGTTCTTTGGTTTGAAGCACACTCTGGTAGCTTGGAAGCAGGACCAGCGACTGTCATCTGCTTTTTTCATGAAAACTTGATATTGATGTTACTCTGCATTAGATGGATTAGATACTGTCTGAGAGATTTACTTTAGCATCTATTAAATGAGACTGCTTTTGTAGTATACCTATGGAGAGGTCTGCTGGAAAAACACTTGAGGGCTAAAGATTGTGGAGCATTACTTAATCCACTGGGACTAATACTGAGTGACATAGGACAGTACTGATGGGAGTGCATGTGAATTTTATTCCAGGAAAACATGGATATGTATTCTCGAGTGAAAAGAAGGAGAAAATCACTGAGGAGAAATAGCTATGGGATTCAGAACCACCATGAAGTGTCCACAGAAGGGGAAGAAGAAGGTATGGGTGGTAAAAAATTGTGGGGACTTGTCCGAAATACTTAAAAAATAAAGTTCTCTTTCCCATAAGATAGCAATATATGGGACTACAGAAAGCAGAACAAAGACTGGTTTCTAAATGTTTGTATAGTGCATTTCCTTCCTTCTGTTCTTTGTAACACTAAGTAATTGGAGCTTTCCTTACATTCCCTGTAACAATCCTGTGGTGGAAGTCAGGATGTAATGAATGTAGTCTACAACTATGTGTGTTCTAACTGACTTGATGTTTCTCACGTGCCGACTGGCAATTACCAGAAAGAATTTGTAATAGTTAGGCCTGCATCCTTCCTTTGGGGGCAGGTATTAATTAAAGTCTGCTTTCTGTCCATTGACATTTTAGAAGGCTTGTAGGTGCACAGCTGTATTTGACATTCTACTTTTCTTTAAAAATTTGAATGAAACTGGTCAATGGGTTCAAAAATTACCCAAAAAGAAGGGATTGTGCCTAACTTTGATGGCCTGATGAGCATCATGCTTGGCCTCCTTAAAAATCAGACTTAAACTTAAGGTCACCTGTACAGGTTTCAGCATACTGCATCTCAGTTTTTAATTAAAACTGCTGTGGAAGGTATGGTTTGTCCCAATGAATAAGAATGCAGTCCTAGTTCAGATATCCACGGATGGAAATTCTGATCCTGTTAACAGATGGGCCTAGGTTGTACCTTTATACATAAAGTATATAAACTGTATTTCTGTGTTCTTTGCATTGTGTAAAAATGATACTGTGAATCATAAAGTTGTACTTATTTTCATGCTGTGTCAAATATTTGATTTATTGAGGCTCCTATGGGAAAAGAGAAGAAAGGCATTATCCTTAATTAGAAGGATACTTATTGAAGAAAAAATACAGTGTGTAGAAGTGATATTTGAAGTATTTTACAGCTAAAGCTGTTTTGAATGCATTTATTCTTCCTTCTTTTGCCTTTCCAGAATCTTGTGTAAAAAACTAGAAGGAAACTGGACAATGTGCTTTAGATTTATCATGGTCTTCAAATTTCCAGTGATTTGCCATTTAGTGTTAATTAATAAATGGGAAGTAATTCTCAGTGACCATTAAAATGTTAATTTTTTAGGGTGAATTTAGCTCTGATGTGAGGTGGAAGTGTTCTGAAAATATTTTTACCCTCCAACAGAGTCTCAGGAAGAAGATGGAGATATAGAAGTAGAAGAAGCTGAGGGAGAAGAAAATGATCGGCCATATAATCTCAGACAGAGAAAAACTGTTGAGAGATACCAGGCCCCTCCAATAGGTGAGGAGCCAGACAGTGCTTGACGTGCAGGAATACCAGCCCTGGATGTGGGGAGGGAATAGTTGCACAGCTACTTCTGAGTCCTGACAGAGTAACAGGGGTGCAGCGCTGTGTGATTTCCATCCTGACCTGTTGTGGGTCACCACGTGGATGGGACTGCTGAGAACCAGTCTGTCAGTTTGTCAGTGATGGCAGTATTGCTGCCTCATTGAGCTCTGCAGGTGCTGCCCTGTGCTGTGCTCAGGGTGGGGGGTAAATGGGGTTTAGGTCAAGAAATTCTTGGCAAGTAGCAATCTAATAAATTAGGTGATTACATAGAAAAAATAGCTACTGTTATGCCTGTTTCTCTTTTTGAGTGGTAAGCCCAATTCATAACTATGGATAAATGGCATAGCAGCAGTTATCACAAATGAGAAATCTGAAGTATTTCAGTTGGAAGGAATCTACAGTGTTCATAAAGTTCAACAGCCTGGCCGCTTCAGGGCTGACAAAAAGCATGTTATTCAGGTCACTGCCCAAATGCCTCTTATGACAGGCTTGGGGCATCAACCACTTCTTTAGGAAGTCTGTTGCAGTGTTGGACCACTCTCTCAGTAAAGTGATATTTCTTCCTGTCAAGTCTGAGTTTTCCCTGATGCGGCTTTGAACCATTTCTGCAAGTCAGGGGATCATAGAATACAATTTCTCTTATTGAGAACTGCTGTGGTTTATTTGTTCAGAGAAATTTCAAGACATCCCATATTATCAGCTATGAAGAGGTTTCTGTATGGAGTATAATGTTCTGCAGATAAACTCAGACACAGCTCTGATAATTTGAGGAGGGTGAGGATGGAATTTCTGTGCCTGCATCAAGCCAAGTACAGAGATAGTGACAGAGCCCCCTGAGAAACGAGTGATAACCTTATTGATGAAAATTGATAATGCAGCACTTCTGTACTGCATTTAGATTAGTTTATTATTCTTTTGTAATTGATGTTACAGTTCCAGCTCATCAAAAAAAGAGAGAAAATGCGCTGTTTGATATTCACAGATCTCCTGCAAGAAGAAGCCATATCAGGTAAATGTCAGTCTCTCAGTGTGTGGATGTTTGCTTTCCTTTAGTACATTCTGATAGGTTTTGATTTTCAATCCATTCTTGAGTGAGTTGCACAGTTCATTCATGCATGTGAGTGGGTCTTGAATTGTATCCTAAGTTCAGACCCTGATCAGCATCCAGGCAGGAGTGTCATGGCACTGTCTAGAACCACTAGAAGCTTTGTGCTAAACAGAATGGAAACAGGTGTGCTACAAGTACTGGAAAGAATTCTGCATGGCACACTGTAGGTTTCTCTATAAGGCTATATATTTAATATTTAAATCCAGTGCATCAGTTTAATAAATATCCCCTTTCTGTTCTGCAAAACTCAGCAAAGCAGGTTAATGTTTTTGTTTTCTTTCAGTTCAGATTTCATCCAAGAATTATCAACAATTTAATAAAATATTTAGCAAGCATAATTTTTGACTCTTATGTTTTGTGTCAAAGAAGTCTGGAATGTACCAAGTTGTCTTGGAAACTGTCGGTAGGCTTTATGTAACAAAACAGATGAGATTACAGCTTAAAACATTCTTTAAAAAAATAAACTTACTCAAGCTTCAAAAAGACAAATCTGTCCATGAACAGAATCCAAGTAAATGAATACTAGTCATAGCTGAAACTCTTGTCTTGTTGCTCAGTGAAAATATATATGATATTTTAATGCTGTAGTGAAAATATATGAAGTAAATAAAGCAATAGCTGAATCTTAGGATTCTAAAGTTTCTTTGTAATGCAGATAAGAGTTGTTGGTTATTTTTTTCCTTGAAGAGCATATGAAAATTTTTTGGATAATCTCTGGGTTTGTACTTGTACTTACTATTCATACGTGAAGAGTGTGAAAGTTATTATCCCTTTACTTTTAGCCTGCATGTTACATATTTTATCCCTTCTTGTCAGGACACTGTCATAAGAAGTCTTCCCAATTGCTTGATACTGTCTTTGATATATTTTGAAATGTATCTCATTTTTGGTCATTGAACAGAAAAACTGATAGACCATGTTATCCATTGACAAAAATAAGTTAATTCAGTGCACTAACAAGTTCATGAAAATAATGCAGCTCACTATATTCACTTAAAATCCAAGACTTTTTACTAATAACCAACTTCTTCATGCAAAAAAGTGCTGAATATTTCAAACTGATATCAAATTCAACACCTTTTTTGTACAGAAGATTTAATGTACATTCTCTGACATTTCTGAAGTCCTCAGTTTTGTGAAATACTGTCATACTAAAATAAGAAATGGTACATTCAGACTTTGGATAGTAATTTTACTTGAATTCAGATCAGAAGTACAGGTGTTTTGAGAGCCTGTTCTGCAATTCAGAATTAATAACCTCATAAAAAGAGATTATATACTTGGTGAAGTATAGAATTTTTCCAAGAATATTTAAAGGAAAGCATCAAACTATTAAGGAGACATTGGTATATCTTTTATGTTAAAGGTGGCTAAAGTGGTTGGTAATTTTCCAAACCACAATTGCAGCTTATTGACTATTATATTAATAATATATTGATATTATTATTAACATTCAAATCACATCGATAAGGTATCATGGACTGTGGTGCACATGTTATGGGGCTCTGCTGTCCTAGTAATGTTCATGTTGAAACAGGATAGTCACTGCGGCAGTAAAAGCTGTTGTTCCCCTCTCAGATTATTTTGATACTTGATGAATCTAGAATTTGCATGCCTCTCAAACCTGAACAGTGCTGTACTTGCCATTTCAGTTTCATTTTTATAGAAAACATGCCATTCTACTGCAAAAAAAAGACTGAGTTTTCTGTTTGTTTTGCCTCTTCAATAGGAGAAAGAAGCATGCCATTCACAGCAGTGATACAACATCTTCAGATGAAGAACGTTTTGAAAGAAGAAAATCTAAAAGCATAGCCAGAGCAAGAAATAGGTATCTAAGCATCCTTGGTCTTAAGAATGATTTGATTTTATTATTTATCAGAAAACAAGCAGAACTAGTTTATAATGTTTTATGAGCTCTGCAGACTTCTGATTTTGTCTGTAATTACCTGCAGATGCGGTTTAGGAGGTGTGCTAGTTATATATTAATACAAGTTTTGGAGTCTTATGAGTAGATAATTCATAATAATAGTGATAAAAAGATAGAAATACAAGAGTAGCTGTTTGATTCAGTTGGGTTACAAAAAACACCTCCTGTTGGTTAAAACATCATTGGTGTAATTTGGTCCTAGTTAATTCAGTTGTACTCCCAGCTCTTCCCTCTTCCTCTTGTGTAAGAGTTCATGCATTCTACACACCCAATGCACAGTTTTTTGACCTTAGATGTATTTAGCAGTAATCTAAAAGTGGAAGATCTATAAGTAAGTTTATTCACTGATGACTAGGTGAAGGAGAATTCTGCAGGGAAAAAGAGATTCCTCATCTTTTGTCCATCTCTTCTGTCTGCCACGTCGTTCACTTTTCCATCGCAAGGAATTCAAGCAATGTACAGTGACCAGAAGTGTAGTTCTGAGTTTCACCTGTATCTTACTAGTACCTTTCTTCCTCCCTTTAACTATGCAGTTGGCCTGATATAATATCTTTGTAGGGCCTTAGAGGAAGGAAATACTTTTTTTTCTGTGTTTAATCAAAATAATCTGTCTGGCCTAGTTCTTCAGATTGAAATATGTGTATGGATGCATAAAACTAACTTTATGTTAAGGAGCTTCCAGATATATAACCATAATTGTCACAAAAAATACTAGTTTTATTTACCAATCTGGGAAGGTTATCTCTTTATGTAGTAGGAGGCATTTAATCTCTTGTTTCCTCACCTCCAATGAAAACAGAACAGTATTTATTTGGTGTTTGTTGTTGAACAGGTGCCTGCCTTTAAACTTCAGAGCAGAAGACTTAGCTAGTGGAATACTTCGAGAACGTGTGAAAGTTGGGGCGAGTTTGGCTGATGTTGACCCTATGATTGTTGATAAATCGGTAGGTTTTGTTAGAGCTTTTCATCTGCCTTCCCTCAATTATACGTAAGCAGAATTCTCCACTGCCTCTTACTGATGATGGAGTAAATTCATAAAAAGCTCACTGGTGTTTTTTATATTTTATTTTATTGTTATCAAAGCTTTTGCCTACTTATTCCTTTGGAATACAAAGCATTTTTTGTGGGACTTAGGCTGGATCTCCATAGATGTCCAGGCAGCCCTGCAACAGTTAACTTGCAAACCACATAAGCCTCATATGAGCAGCCAAGAGTTGACTTTCTCAACTGTTTTTTCACACTTTCAAAATTCAGGGAAATCCTGTTGAGCAATGCAATCAGTTTTTCTTCTAATGCATTTTTAAACATATTATAAGTAAAGGTGCTTTTGTGGAAAGCTGCTACAACATAAACTTAATATGTTTTGGTTTTTTTTCCCCTAAGGTGTGTTTTGATAGTATAGGGGGATTGAGCCATCATATCCTTGCACTTAAGGAAATGGTAGTGTTTCCTCTTCTCTATCCAGAAATATTTGAAAAATTCAAAATTCAGCCACCAAGGTAGGTGTATTTACTCTTACTGTTTCATTTTTTTATTAAGCTCTGTGGAATTGAAAATGCATAGGAGGTTGATTCTTTTCCTGAGGTGTTTTATAGTTCAAATAGATTTACATGTTTGCTACCCTACTTGTCTATCAGAATATGTAATAGGTGGGACGAAGAGTTAAAAAAACCTGCTGTATTTTTCTTGTGGTAGGAAGGTAAACTTTGTGATTTGGTTAAAGAAAGAACTCTCATGTGTTTTATTTAGTAGTACCTTGCCTTTCTTTCCCATTATGTTATTAAATATTTTACTAGATCAAGCAAAATGCTGATGTTTCTCTCAATATTATTAGACTGGGATTTTAATATTAATTAATGAGGCATCTTGGTATGTGATTTAAATGGGTACATGATGTCTAAGTCAATAGAAAAATTTGGAGTATTTTTGTCACTTAATTACTTCATTTATAAGAAGTAACAAACATTGGTTAAGGTATTACCTAAAATCTAATACTTGAGGAGGTGGTATTTAATGTAAAAGAATCCTTTGGATACTTAGTATGCCTTTGATTAATGTTCTTTACAAATCAAAGTTTTACTGATTTGAAAACATAAAACAAACTTAGATTTTATGAAGTCATTAATACTACAACATGTTAATGATACAATACTACTACTACAAAATAATAATACTATGAGATCTTAAGTCATTCTTCTCCAGGCTCCCTGTCTTCATTATAAAATTTGACTTGGAGTTTTTAGGAGACGTAAAATAAGTTTGTGACTGTGTTGATCCATTTATCTTCAGGGGCTGTTTATTCTATGGTCCTCCTGGAACAGGTAAAACCTTGGTAGCTAGAGCTCTAGCTAATGAATGCAGTCAAGGAGACAAAAAGGTGGCTTTCTTTATGAGGAAAGGAGCAGACTGTCTCAGTAAGTGGGTTGGTGAATCTGAACGTCAGCTTCGACTCCTTTTTGATCAGGTTAGAAGAAAATACATTTTTTTCATATAATTTCTCTGTATGTTGTGTTTCGTGGTTCAGGTAGCCAAAGGTATTTGCAATTGAAACTAAATAACTGTACATTTTCATTTATTAAGGAGGATTTTACCAAATGGCATATTTAGATGAAAAGAATGGAGGAATGCTAACTAGTCAGCATTGCTTGCTCTGGAAAATTAGAGAAAGAAGTCTCTTGATTTGTCCGTTAATGAAGCAAAGTAGTTTGAGTAAAACTTGAGGAAAGAAATATCAGTCAGTGTGTTTGAGTTTTACTGGCATGTTCAAGATAAATGCTGCAGAGGGGAGTGCATGATTGTCGTGGTTGTGTGTCTATTTTAATGTTTTTTTTGGCTTAGAAGAGATTAGACAGGACATAGTCACATAAAGCAGTAAAATGCTCAAATAAAAGTAGCTGTCAGAGATGTCCAAAGAAACAGATTATGAGCAGTTAAGATCATGTTTTCTGTAACGGAGTGTAAAGTGTGTGTTTGTCTTTATCCTGTCCAGCACACAGTAAAACTGGTACACTGGTGCCATCTTGCTTACTTGAAGTAGACTGCAGTCTGCTTTGCTTTGAAACACTGCTGGAGTTGGAAATTCAGTTTTCATTTCAGACTTTACACTTTCTAACAAAGATGTCTCAATATATGTGTTAGTTTAGCATGTTAATGCTTTCTAGTGAAACCACTTTTCAATGTTGATGGAGAACTTAGGAATTAACAGTGAGTTTAATTTTTGTTCTGTTGATTGCATACCAGGCATACTTGATGAGACCCTCTATAATCTTTTTTGATGAAATAGATGGTTTGGCTCCAGTTCGTTCTAGCAGACAAGATCAGATTCACAGGTAATATTTCTTCTATGCTGCTCTTATCTTGCTAAAGGATACATTATCTTGGTAAACTCTTAAATGTAATTTTTTCTCATTTCACAGGAAAGGTTTTTGCTTTTTCTGAAGCCCATTTACACTAGAAAGGACAGATTGGTTTTTTGGGGTTGAAAGTCATCTTTTCAGTCCTTCAGGCAAACTGTAATTTTCTGGGAACTGAATTGCAGTGACAATTACCTTTCAGCCACATTATTAACTGCAAGATTTCCACAGCCATTCCTTGATTTACTGTTTTGTGCTGTAAACAGATTGTCTGTTACCAGCCCAACAGAATAACCAGTTGAAAAAATGTTATTCTAATGTGATGAATTGTAAAGTTCTATCAATAAACTGAACTCACCTGTGATTTTGATTCTTAATGGTGTGATGTATAAACATGTCATTTGTTGATGTTGTGTCATTTTTTAGAACATTTTTTAAAACAGTTTGCTGTTGGCTGAATTTTTTTTGTGGCTGATTTTGATCTCAGTTTTGCTGTGCTCAGTATGGCAGTACACTTGTACCTGTCATTCTATAGGTGGTGGTGTTTATGTGTCCATCTCCCTCCACTCTGCTGAGAGAAATTTGGAGCCAGCAGACCAGGAGGCCAGTGGAACATAAGAGACTTGAAATGTTATTCATCTGTTTGTAGCTTAGCTTTTTTCTTTTGAATGTATTAATTTTGCATTTGAAAATGTGAAAGTTCTTGCAGTGTTCCTTACATCTTTATTCTGAAAACTCTCTTGTAGCTCTATAGTGTCTACTCTTCTTGCCCTCATGGATGGACTGGATAATAGAGGTGAAATAGTTGTAATTGGTGCTACGAACAGACTGGATTCTATAGATCCTGCACTCAGGAGACCTGGTCGCTTTGACAGGGAATTTCTTTTCAACTTGCCTGACAAGAAGGTAAAACTTGGAAAGGAGGTTTATTAATAAACATCTTTAGTATATGAAACATTTGGATGACTAACAACCAAGCTTATGAAATAAAAATATTCATTCTTGTTCTAAGAATGTTTAACTTTAGGAAGACATTTTTAGTACAAACAGATTGTATATATATAAAGTTGTATTGAGCTTCAGTTCTTCAGGATATAGCTAAAACTAAACAGAAGTAAATTATTCACAAAAAGCTGAATTGCTTATCTCAAAACTATGGATTTGTGTAATGAACTCTACCTATTTGGGGGCGTGAAACTTATGGTAAGAGAAAATAACTTTAAAATGTAGATGCACAGCCAGGCATTACAATGTTGGCAACAGAAGCATTTCAGTTCCTTTTTCTAAACTCACATAAACTCAGCCATAATACTTCATGAATTTATACTTTAAATTAAATGCATTTTGTATGTGGATAGATGTATTTAGATTCTATAGAAATTTTAGCTGGAATTGTTTTGGGATTCATGTGTGCTGTGCTACTCAGAAGTACATAAATTGGTGAGGCCTTTGCCAGTAGAACCTGTTACTCATAGGTACAGTAATTAAAAATGAAATGATAAAATTATGCTAGTTCCTAATAGAATATGAGTTTCAATAAGTTCATGTATAATAATGTTGATCTAACAACTTAAAGTATGTAACTAGTGAAAAAAGTACTGCTTATGTATGAAATATGAAAGAAGGGAAAAGCTTTATTCTTGAGAGACTTTGGAGTGCTAAGTTCTATTTTATATGTCTCAGTTACATGACAAAAGCAGGTAAAATAACTATAGATTCACATGACTAAAGAATATTTCTCTCTATGATATGGACTTGACTTGCTAGTTTTTTGACCTTGTTTTCTTTTTTTCCTTTAAATCAGGCACGAAAGCACATTTTACAAATTCATACCAGGGATTGGAACCCCAAATTGTCAGATCCTTTCTTAGGAGAACTGGCTGAAAAATGTGTTGGTGAGTATTATGTTGCTAATACTTTTACTGTAGAGCCTTTATTTTCTATTTAAGATGTTGAAGGTATGTTAAATGTATCAAGATTTTCTTGTCTCTACCTTTTTAAACTTCTGTACTTTGAACAACTCTCTTTTTGTAGTAACAGATATGCTTCTGTCTTACTAAAACACAAAATGACTATCTAGTAGTCATCTGAAAATACAACCATGTTTCCTTTCTGTGACATCACTGTCCTTATACAGGATGCATACTCTTAAAGAGAAGCAAAAATGAAGTTGGAATTGGAATCTTTAGGTAGACTTCCAATTAAATTGATAAATTATAAAAGAGGCAGACTTGGGTTCTTTTCTGTCTACTTAGTGAGGAAAAAAACCAGTACTTGTGTGTGGGATTTTTCTTTTTTGTTTGTTTTGTACTGACTGGCATGCTCTCCTCTGACATAAATCCAACAAACTAACCAGCCTTTCTAAAGATGAATTTTTTTTTCCAGATTGCTAGCACAGAACAACCTCAAAGTGTAGACATAGGTAGGGGAGAAAAAAAGCACCTCAGCATGAATACATTAAATATACCTTTGGAGCTCACAAAGACCTGCTGTACTCAATGGAGGTTGGTTGTTCAAGATAAGCCTGCTGTTTAATCAGAAATAAACCCAAATATTTTTTATAGTTAGTTTAACAGAGGAAATGACCCTAAAGCACATACCACAATATCTTCCCAACAACTTGTCATGCAAAGATACATCCTCTGTCAATCATCTACTTGGACAAGCACTGAAGCTCTCAGAAAAAGAGCAGTCTCAGATACCTGTGCTTTGGAATCCATCATCAGGGAATCTAAGAACTTTAAATTGAACATCAGTCCATTCAGTCAGCTACAGTACATCCGAATTATCCTCTTCATCCACAGGGACATCTCTCATCGAAGCAGCATCCCTCCGCTTTTGATGCACAAAGACCTCAACATCTTCTGGTGAGGAGAAAACATAACTATCCAGCAAACTCCAGTTTAAGCTTTGCCGGGTATAAGACAGCACATGACAGGCCTGTTTCATGTAAATTCTGCTTGAAGTATGCAAACATGTGGTGCTGCTTAGTGGGAAAGAGGGGATTAGGTGGGAAAAAAACCACAGATGTTTCTATAAAAATTCACCATATTTTTTCATTGAGAACACAATATTTTAAAATTTCAGACAACAGGGAAAGCCATTTGTACATTTGACTGGAAGACATTCTTTGTGCTCCATAAAGCCTGTCAGTTCTGTGGAAGTCAGCTAACAAAAAGAAACACCCTTTTCTGTTTTCCTTGGCTTTCCTGCTCTTCAGCTACTGTACACTTGATTGTCTCCAGTCTGTATCATGGATTTTAAGTGTTTCCATACATCCAAGATGAAAATCTTTCAAGTATTACAAAGTCTTTTCAAAATAGCTGAAGTAAGAATAGTGTGTCTTCTTCACCTTGAGAGTGCCTCATTGTTTCTGTAAGTGAGATCTGCAGCAATAAAAACAGACTCTTCCAGATTCTTTGTGGCTATTACCATTGGGATTCACTGGCATGCATATATCTCTGTGATACAATTTATACCAGTCTGCTACTTCACTTGTGAGCAGGTTTTCTTTAGAAAGAAAACAACCTTCCCCCCACAAAAGCAGCAATCCCTCTTCCCCAAGTAAAGGCTGCCTAGACTTTACAGGCTTTTGGCACAGCATGGTTGATACCTCTCTCCAGTTCAGCAGACTTGGCAACACGTAACTCCAAGCTTTTGGATCCTGATGAAGAAAATTGCTGAAATACTCCCAAAGCAAATGACTTTTGGGAAGCAGGTGTATGTGCGACTCAGAACTTCTTACGATCCAGGGTCATAATTAGAAGGAAATTGTAAGAGAAAAGCCCTAGGACTTGCAAAAAATAGGTTATTTCCTGAGGGTTGATTTTTGTCCCAGGTGTTATGGATTACAGCCTTTCAGCGGATTTCTGTGTACGTGAGAATTAAAGACTCCACTCCTCTGAATAGCGTCATGCAGTTTGTGTGAGCTGAAGTGAAGCAGTTTGGAGAGAGCACAGCATTGCTCAGAAGATCAGACACTTATGTCTTGTTAGTACTTTCAGTAAACATATATAATTACTATATGTCTTCTGTTTGCTGGAGATGGGTCCCGGAGACCCTTAACTTTATAGATCCTTTCTTATCTCATGTGCTTATTACCTTGTTTGGAATAGTAACTTTCTGTAGGTAGAGAGACTTACATATGAACTAACTCAGTCTTGCAGGAAACAAAACATACTAGCAACTGAAAAAGTGTGAATTCCTCCATCTGCTATTTTGCAGATAAATCTTTTTACAATGTATTAAGGGTTATTTAAATAATGTTATTACATAGAATTACAAAAAGCAAACTATTAGGCTGAAGATGCTTGTTAAAAATATTCTGTGCTTGTTATTGCAGGAATGTTTTGTGGCAAAATGATACCATGTTAGACTTTTCTTTCCCATCCTCTTGTAATGATGGTGAGGGAGATTTTGGCATTACCATTCCTGTTTTTCACAATTCTTTAAAATAAGCCTAGCAGTTATTTTTCATCTCTGTCATCATGCTGAGTTGTTTGCTAACTGTCTTTCCCTGCAGTCATTTTGGGAGTTTTGTAGGGAGTTGCACAACATAAAGTGGAAGAAGTGGTCAAAATTATTCACCAAAATGCACCACCCCATTCAGGAGTACTTCGTTGCAGGCTTTTAGGGTGGGTTTTAGGCAGAAGAAATTTTAAAGAGGACACAATTTTTTCACAGTAGTGATGGCTGGAAAATTTTGTTGATCAAAGTGCATTCTTTGTATACTTACATAGGAATGCACTTGTTTGCTCTTCTGCTTTTCGAAAGTTGTACTTCAGAAGTGTTAAGCAGAGTTTGGTGGTGCTGGGTATAAGAAAATGGGCTACATGACATTTTATTCTATGTTAGGGTGTGCCAGTACATTTTGCCTGGAAAATTGACCATCTTTTCTGAGGTGCTTCAAAAATGGAAGCAAATGCACTGAACCCTGAGTTTATATTACAGTGTCAATTTGGGTAAAAACTGCATCAGGTTATTTACTGTTGACATGATACATTTTATTTTGTTTTGACAATACTTCACTCATGTTTTTCTTCTGCTTAATCAGTGTGTGTTTGCTTCTTAGCAATAAAAAGCTCTTTAATGTTTCACCAGGTACAGGATTTTTGCAGTTTTCTTGTCACTGAAATGGATGTACAGTATGCACAAGAGAGTCCCTCAAAAAGAGACACCAATTATTAGTCTTCAAATGTAATTGCTCCTGAGAAATGAGAAGGAGAAATGGAGACTAATTGTGTATCTGATCACCTGAGAATTTAATTTTAGAAATAGGCTACAGGCTATTATTTTCTAATTTTGCAATTCTTTGGAGATATACAAGCGGTGATTAAAATGACTGTTAGAAAGCGATATTACATCATTTGTTAATAGAAAAGTTGGGAAGGATCTAACTCCTGGGCAGCTGAATCTTTCCATAAAGATACTAAACTAGCTTCTAAGGCGACAGGCATTCAGGGTGCTGCATATCTTCAGCACCTCTTTGAATTAAGCTTTGGCTTAGTGATTTTTGTCACTCATTTTGTGTTTAATCTAGTGTGGTTTTTGGATGAGAAGTGGACCAATTTAAATGGGAACATGATACCTGATACCTAAAGTACAATGCAGAGTTTAGAATCGTGGCTTGGTTTCTCTGATGCACCTGTATCTACTGTCTAATAGTTTCATGTGGTTGGAGTTTTGATTTCATGTTAAATGAAAGTTAAAAAAGCCCTAAACAACATAACTTTAGTGCTGAAAACAATTAGTTGTCTATTGATTAATATAGTGGATATATCTGAACATATTTCAAATGTAATGTGTATTTATTTCAAGGTAACTTGGGAATGTGAATTGCCACATACATTTTAGGTAACAGTGATAGTGTGGACTCACCAGCTGGACACAACTGTAGCTACTGATCTTTTTATAAAATTGCAAAGCTTGGTTTGAAAATTGCAGGAATCATCCAATATTTATGGTGATTTTCCATATGGGTTTATTTCTGTTTTGCCTTTTTTTTTTTTTAAATTATTTTCCTGCATGTATAAGATAGGTGCAGTTTGAAGTCTCATCCAATTTAAGTCATCTTTATAGCTGAAAAGTAGGTATTTTTTATTATTATCCCCCAAATTAATATATCTGAAAGACAGGGATGTAGAAGTGTCTACAGTCTTCCGTATTAATTGCTTCTTTTTTAGTTTTAAAATATGTGTATGGAATCAGCTTTGTTTCTTACTGCTGTATGGATCTTGTAAAAATATACATGCCAGGGAGCACTGAAAGAACATCAGAGACTAAAGACAGGGAAGCAAGGCAGGTCTCAATTTTGTGAGTTGCTGCTGCCAAATCATGGAATCATAAAATGGTTTGGATTGGAAGGGACTTGAAACCTCATCTCATTCCAACCCCCTCTCATGGGCAGGGACACCTAGCCCAGGTTGCTCAGAGCTGCATCCAGCCTGGCCTTGGACACATCCAAGGATGGGTTGGCCACAGATTCTCTGGACAGCCACTTCAAGTGCCTTATAGTAAAGAATTTCTTCCTAACATCCAATCTAAATCTGCCCTCCTTGGTCTTAATACGAAAATAGAGTAGAAAAAATGCAAGTAATGTAAGTCTTGGTAAGGAGGAGGAAGCCTGCTAAAAAACAGTTGAATGAGAATAGTTTTAACTAAAGATTTGATTAATTGCCTTCTATAAACACTTCATTACAAACCCATGAACTTTTTATATGGCAGTACCTCAGTGCAACACATTTTCCTATAGTGACTCGAATTCTCCAAATGTCTTTTCTCACTAGAATATTGTTTTACAGTTTTTGAAAGATGGAGCTATGGTGCCTCAAAATATGGAGGCATATTAATGTCTCTTGCTGAGAGAGTTGGAAAAACTTGAAATCTGATTTCTAGCTCTGGGGAAAACCTGCAAACTATTAGTACTGAAAAAGACTCAGAGGTATTAAGTCTCTCTGTATTTCATAATTATCAGATCTATGTTTTTCACTAATGATGATTAAGCAATTATAGGTAGCCACCTGTAGATACGTAAGAAGATAGGCTAAATTAAAATTTTAATGCATTTTAACTCTACCTTTGGTTATGTTAGTAAAGTTATGAAACGCTTAAAAGTCTAAAACATTTTTCTTCGTAGTAAAAGTTAACAATTTTTCCAAGAATTCAGAGTATGCTTTTTTAATGAGATTCCATCTTTTCCATAGTCTACTCATGAAATAATTTTCTTTATACTGCTCATTTTTTCAGACTGTGAAAGTTTAAAGTCGGGGGTGTTCATTGTAACAAAATTACTTTGCTATTAAAGAATGTATTCATGTGGAGATACTAAAGGAAAAGAGGAGGAGAGGGACTAGCCTGTTAAAATTGCACACATACATTAGATAATATTAAGGGAAAAGAAAACAATAACAGACCTATAACCCAGGACTGAAAATACACTATATATGAAATGATATAGTGAAAATGTAAGTAATCTAAACCTCTTTGTGGAATTAATTTCTTAGTATATCTTATAAACATGTCATTTCTTCATATACAACACTGTCATCAGATTATGACCTGATACCTTTTGGCAGATGCTTTATGGACCTTGACAATTAAGTATCCTGATTTGTTTTGAGCTGGATGCATGTTTGAGCCGGGTGTGGCACAGCAGTGCTGTTTCATGGAAGTGTTTGTGTTTCTGTGTGCACTAGGGTACTGTGGGGCTGACATAAAAGCACTTTGCACTGAGGCTGCCTTGATTGCCCTGAGACGCCGCTACCCCCAGATCTACATGAGCAGTCAGAAGCTCCAGCTGGACGTTTCCTCAGTCGTTCTCAGCGCGCAGGATTTCTACCATGCAATGCAGAACATCGTGCCTGCCTCCCAGCGTGCCGTGACGTCTTCGGGACACGCGCTGTCCCCCGTCATCCGCCCGCTCTTGGAACGGACCTTCGCTAAACTCCTCGAGGTCTTACACAAAGTGTTCCCTCATGCTGAATTCAGCCAGGGTGACAAAAGTGAAGGTATGTGGTTTGGGGTTTTTTGCAAATGCTGTTTTAGCTTGCAAGTGTTTCAGCTCCTCCACCTAACCTTAAGTCTGGTGTGTATTTCCTTCAGTATTGTTAGGATGTAAATACTATTTGCTTGGATGTTGCATAATGGTTTTTGCTAATTCCAAGTCGTTGTAGAATCTAATGACCTGACCTAAACAGAGCAAGGTCCCATAGGTGTGAGGGCCATCTATAAAAAGAACTCACAAGTAATTTACAATTTAAATACAAGAAATTATGGGGCATAATTAAAGGTCAGAACAAAAAAAAAAACAACAAACAAACAAAAACCAAAACAAACAAAAACCCCCAACAAAACAAACAAACAAACAAAAGAAAGTGAGACAATGTTGCTGAATGTAACAGGAGCTGAAACTGGTACTCCTGTCTGGAGTGGTTAGCTTTTGTTTTTTGCTTGCTGGTGATGCAGAAGCTTTGGGGGACTCATAGCTCAGCAGGTGTTTCGCTGAGGTACCTGAACCTATGTAATGGTCATGTGCTGATTAAGAAGAAAGTCCAGAGGCTGCCTTCTCCTTGAACTGGGCCCGTCCACTTCCGCCCCTCCAAGCTGGTTCTGTCAGCTTAGCAAGTGGAGAGCTATTGGCTGTTTTGTCAAGTGAACTTCTTTTGCCAAGTTAATGAGTAAAATCAACTCACTAAGGGGTTAGTGAATGCTAGAAACCTGCTGCAGTGGGAGCAATGTGGGTACATCAAGGAAGCAAGGAAGGACTGTTTTGACTGGCAATGAGTCAATAGGTTCTGGGATTTTTCTACCCAGCTTTTCTCTGAGACATGCTGTAATACTCATGTCATTTCTTGCAAGCTAAATGCTGCACAAGATAACTTGGGTTTGAGACATATTTATTCTGATGTAGTCCACTGTTCTTATCTCGGATAATTATCACCCCCCAACTCTGTAAAACAGTACTTGTGGGGTTGTGTATGATTAACTTGAAAACAACCCAGACATAAAGCAAAGCTGTGACTTTCCTCTCATTCCTGTTCCAGAGCATGCCTTCAGCCTGCAGCCCAGGCATCTTAAGCTGATTCTTGTGCTGGCTGCTGAAGTTCTCCAGCCCAGCTGTGCATTTTTGCTCCGTCCTTTCCACTTGCATGAGTACCTCAGATCCTTTGTTGAACTGTTTTAGCGAGAAAACTCACCCAAAAATGATGTATTTATGTGTTTTCTGCTGACTGTCGGGTAGCTGGAGGTTTTAACAAGTGTTGGAGTTGGCCAGAGATGGGCCCTGGGAGCATGTGGTGGTGGGTAGGGGGAAATGAGCTGGCTTTCAGCTGCAGTTAGATCTATTGGGCTCCCTCAACTGAAAGTTATTTATGATGCTAGAGTCTCTGTATACTGCTAACCTATTAGTAGAACCCAATTTAGAGATTGTCATTCTTGTTGAAGAATTGGTTTAAGTTCAAAATATTTTCTTTGGTTATACTTTTTATATTGCTATTTATTATTGCTCATTACTGCTGAGAAATTGAGTTTGGAAGCTTAAGTTGATTTAAATAGTAGTTATACTAGATAATTTGCTGCTATGGGTACTTTTAAATGTTTGCAGATAATTGATTTTGAAGATGCATGAATTGAATTTCCTTTTAGCATTTCCTTTATTTTTTTCTTACTCCTTAAATTCAAGAAAATGTTGAATGACAAGCTTTAATCTTTGTTAAAACCAGAAAGATCCACTTTCAGGTTCAATAATTACACATAAATGTAGATTATGCAATGGGGCTTCAAATTTTTTTTAAATTCTAAGTCAAGTATATAGAACATGCTTACAGGTATGCTTACAATCTGCACATCAGGTTTTCTGCATTTCACAATAAATTCCTCCTTCTTGTAAATCAGTGAGTCAGATGCTTGAGCAGAGGATGATGCTTGGGATGAAAAGGTCTTTTAAAATAATTGTGTACTTAGGGAGAAGAAAGCCGAGTCCAGCGCATGAGCATATGACTTACGTACATTTGGTGTACTGGAAATTCTGTCTGTTTTAGGGATTGTTTTAGTGAGCCCAGAGACAGAAGGCCGATGTCCAGTTGATTTGGAGGTCTCCATCCTTAGCTTTAGCTGAATATCCAGCAGCTTCTGTGCCATGTTTTCTTGCTGTGGATTAGCTTTTGGCCACTGCTTGGGGTCTGCAAGCCATTTTCTTCTTTGCTCCCCAGGAATGATTGTCAGGTGTGTGACTGCATCACAACTTGACAAAAGATGTGGCACATCCTCATCCTGGGGCAGCAGCCACATTACTCCTCAGCCTGCTCTGAATCTGTTTTCTTATATCACACAGTCAACTAAGGGAACCATTGATGTCTTCTAACATTTTTTCCTGGAGCCCTGGGACATTTTTTCCTGTGGCTTAGATGGTATCTCCATCCGATGCTTATCAGTGCCTTGAAGGCATTTGTTTGTCCAATGGTGGTTGTCTGATCAGTGTGGCAGGACCTGTGCCATTGCCTCAGGTAAATCCAACAAGTCATGCAGTGGATTGGATATTTGAGAGTAGCACTTGGATCTCTCTGTATTTCACACTTTCATTTCACAGCAATCCCTTTTCTGAAGTGGCTATGGCCAACTTGAGCTGCTCTTGGCATGTCTGGGGGTTGTCCTGAGCAGCAATGTGCTACAGTGGCTCTGGGCTGCACTCAGGAATGCTGACCATCAGCAGAGCTGGCCTCTGCAGTGCTCCTGCTGTACAGCTGACTGGTTGTGGCCATTTTCATCCCATCATTGCAGACTTCCTTCCCTATGGAAAAGAGAAGGAGTGGCCCTGCATTGGGCAAAAGAGCTCAGCTTCTTTCCTGGGGCATATAAAAATATTGCAGCAGTTCTTTCCTATTATCAAGTCACACCAGGTCAATCCTGCTGCAGCTCTGGGAGCTAATTTACCTGATTTTCAGTTGTTATCTGGTTGTTCTTTTTTAGTACCATATTAGTATTTTTGCAGTTGTTCATCTCTTGCAGTGTCTTGTGAATATAATCAGTCTTTGAGCTTTCTCTTTTTCAAGGTCTGTATAGAAAGTGCTTCAGTTCACTGTGCTGCTATATTAGCAAAGGAATTAAAATAGGTAAAGGTATAGTATATGAATATGGAATGCATTGAACTGATTTTGATAAAAAGTAATTTGATATTCTTCAGCAGATTATCAGAGGGTGGAAAACAATTCTTCATAAACATACACTGTCTAGGTAGTCATGCTGAGAATAATTTTGAAAGAAGGGGACCTGTGAGAATTTGGACACTTGGAACAAGTAAATAATTACAAAATTCTATGTAGTCTGAGGATGATAAATTTTATAGCTTCATCCTAGAAAAACCTCTAGCTGTGAAATAAACCTGAAGGAAGCATTTCATAACAAGTTAAACTTTTTTGTATTTGAGAAGTTGTTTAGCTTGATTGTTTAAAAAAATAAATTGTAATTATGATTAGACTTCTACAGTATTTAATTTGTTTTGGTTTTTGAAGTAATAAGTACTTATTATTCTGAAGGCTGATACTTAGACAGTTTTAACTAATTTCTTCTACATTTGAAGATTTATTATAATTGACACAAAGAAAATTGTAATATCTTGTCTTGTTTGTTTTACTTGTACTTAGAAGTGATAAAGTTCTAATTAATACATCTCTTGGAACAGATGTACCAAGTCTAATATTAGATGATAGTGAAGATGAGAATGCTTCATCAATTTTTGAGACGAGCTGTCACTCAGGATCACCAAAGAAACAGTCATCAGCTGCTATACATAAACCCTACCTTCATTTTACAATGTGAGTGTTTCTCTAAATACATATAATTAGATAGATAAACCCAGGAGATTCTTACATCAGGAGAGCTAAAAAAGTTGTTCTTTTGCTTTGGGGTGGCAGTAGTGTTCTGTAATGGAAACATGTAAGAGTTTTGTACACAAGAGTTTTAGATGTGGGGGTGTTCTTTGGAAAGGCCACATCCTTCACTAGAATTAGAAATGTTTTTCAATAGACAAATGTAGATTAGGTGTAAAGATGCTAATAGCAATTTCCAATTTTAACAAGCTACTTTGATTTGAATGATTAAGAACTGAGAAGAGATGTATGTAGGAATCTTTTGGAAGAGTTGTGTCCTTTTTCTTGTCCAAAGTACAACTGAGCTTTGGTGTAAGCAGCTCTTTGGAAGCATCACATTCAGCATTTCTAATGTGCTTTTTTCATTGTTTTTCATGGAAAGTTTCAGGAAAACAGGAATTTAGAAAATGTGTGAAATTTGGATGAGTGTTTCCTGTATAAATTTGACTAGCTACAGTAATTAACAATAATTGCCATGGTTTTGTGTTGAGAATAGATTTAGGCTACTTTATGTGGTAGTTTCTGCAGGGAGTTAGCTGAATAAAGAAAATGAAGTTAGAAAAATTGTTCATTAGTGGCACTGTTTAGTAGAGCCATCTTGTGGAAAACTGATAAAAAATATGTGCTAAATAATAATGTCAGAACAGAATTTACATATAACTAAGCTTAAAAATAAGGATTAAAGTTCAAAGAGTTGGAGGAACATAGCTAAGTATTCTAATGCCAAATTTAAGCTTCTGTTGCAAGGTTGGGAAGGGGGAAGCCAAACCCAAAATAACAGTATATATTTGTATGGATGTGTGTCTTTAAATAAAAGAATCTCAATACTGTGTTTATTTTTGCAAAGTATGTAAGCATCTCTCAGTCTGTTTCCTGAACATTTTTGATTGTTACATGTGTGTGTAACCATCATCCCCAGAACTGAAAGCCAAAGGTCAGCACTGTTCATTGTTGTCCCAAAATGTTTAATATGAAGTGATATCAGCAAGTCTTGTTCCACTGCTTGAGTCCACTGATGGACAGATAGAAATGCCATAATGAAATAAAATGCAAATTAATTAAAAACTTTCTTGTTTTATAATTGGTTTTCTAAAAATGGAAAATATTTTTAATGGAAAAACTTAATGTGTTTTTCTTTGTGTGTCATTTGTCCATAAAATTGGGCAAAAACACCTGAGAGAAAGAAACAAACACAAAATCCCAAAACCCCTTCTATGGATGGCTTAGAGTTCCTTCCCAACAACAAAAAAACCTTCACAAAAAACCTTTGCAATTTTTCTTTGAAGTCTTCCTTCTGTCCATAAGCCTACTGATTAGAAGTGTAAAAGTAAGCTAGAATACACGTTGCTTAGTGATGTTATTCAACACTACTTCAGGTCCTTTTTCTTAAATGAGTAAACTATTGAAATGTTCATTGGTTCTTGAAAATCTTGGGCAGCACTTAAGGGATGAAAGGATTGACCTGGGATTCCTGAGGCTACTGAAGAGATACACTATTAGTTAGGACTGAGCTAGAGTGATTAAATTGCTGTCTTTACTGGATGTTCAGTAAATCTTTTTATGTGATCAAGGAATTAGTTTTAAATAAACAGGTTATAAAGAAAATTGCCATGAATTTAATATGTGCACAGCTTCACACAGATGAATTTGAATTAAACAGCTGTGAAACCAAAGATAAGAGAAATCTTGAGTTATTGGCTCATGAGGTAGTATTGAGGAATAGTCGAGTTAGTTGATCTTTTTAGGGTGTTGTAGGAAGCTATTACCTGTTACTGAACGTCTTCTGGATTCTTAAATATCCCCTATATATCCATCCATTGTTAACACTGGTATGTTAATTGACTGTTGTGACTGTTGTGTTGCAGGTCAGCTTATCACCAGCCAACCTCTTACAGACCGAGATTACTGCTCTCCGGGGAAAGAGGTTCAGGTCAGACTTCGCACCTTGCTCCAGCACTATTGCACACCCTGGAAAAATTCTCCGTACACAGGCTCGACCTGCCAGCTCTTTATTCAGTCAGTGCCAAAACACCTGAAGAGTCATGTGCACAGGTGATATTTCAGATTCCCTTGTAATGAGTCAATTATGTAATTCTGGTTTCATCAGTATAAAGGCAGCCAGCTGGAATGTAACTTAAAGTCCAGGTTTTTGTAGGCTCCTTCTATTTTTCTGTTTAAAATAAACAGGTCTCTAGAGGGTGATGGGAATCTCTCCAGTGACTAGTGAATGTAATTACATTTTTAGCTTGCCCCCTCATCACATACCTAGTACTAAGTAAGTTTTATCTGGATATTCAGTGACTGGTGTTAATTTTATTCACTTGTGTATGGATTGGTGTGCTGTGGTACTAAGTTCATTTGCTTAGTTTTAAGTGTTTTACATTTCCAAATAACTTGTGAATATTGCATGAATTGCAAAACAGTTTAATTTTCATCTTGATTGTTCAGTCATGGCAAATTTTTAAAACATACATATTTTTAAAACAAAGTAGTTGCTTTGTAGTCTCCCTGGCATATTGACATAAAATAATTGAATGCTGTAACTAAGAGTCACAAACACTTTTTTAGAAAGTCTTTAGATAATTCTGTTCTGCTGGAACATTTGTCTGTAAAATGACACAAATATGAATCATTCTCTAATGTGCAAGAACTTTGTTACTCACAGCTGATGGTAACAATTAGTTCCTTAGTTGAAATACGACTTTTTCTTTTAATTAGATCTTTCGTGAAGCTCGACGAACAGTACCAAGTATAGTTTACATGCCTCATATTGGTGATTGGTGGGAAGCTGTCAGTGAAACTGTGAGAGCTACTTTCCTAACTTTGCTGCAAGATATACCATCTTTCTCACCTATATTTCTGCTGTCTACCTCTGAGTCCATGTTTAGTGATTTGCCTGAAGAGGTGAGTTTATCGTGGAAGGAGGCATTGTTAGGGGGTTCTGTGCTCTTCTGAATGTTTTAATCATGTAAAATAATTTTACTTTGTAGTGACTTTCTTACTTCAATTATGTCAAACAGAAAATGTAATAATTCTTGAATATTAGTAATTTTCCTTGATGTGGGATGTATGTCTGTATTACTGCTTTTCAAAAGCCCTGTGCTACTCTGCTGAGAAGAAAAAATTGTTCATTTTGTCAATTGTTCTTTTTGACAAACTACTCCATTATAATTAAAGGCAGATTTAGTCTAAAGGCCTGACCTTGAGCTTTAAGTTTTCTGAAGCTCCAGATAGGGGGGGGTTTCCTGGTTTTTCTCCTTAACATTTTCTGCGATTTTTTTTCCTCCTGCCCTTTACTCTCCTTTTACTGCAGGGTTGGCCATTTTTAGGATCATGGGATACTGCAAGTTTCATTAGTGTAGAAAATTCAGTGAGAATTACAAGTGTGTATTTTCCCTTTCCTGGGAACACAGCTTTAGATAGAGTTTACTATCTCCTGTCCTGTGGCTGATTTTGATAACTTTGTGCCTAGTATTAAATATGGTCACTGTTCATGTCTCTTTCAGCAGGGGCTCATTTTTCTTATGACTTTTTTCTTTTTTTCCTTAGCTGAAATGTATTTTCAGAATCCAGTATGAAGAGGTTTTTTATATTCAAAGACCAAGTGAAGAAGACAGATTGCGATTTTTCAAAGGCTTAATTCTTGATGAGGCAGCAATGCCCCCACCAAGAAGGAAACAGGCTGGTAAACTAAGTTACAGTAAAACCAATAATAATGTGATCCTAATGTTTTATTTTGTGTTACTTTCCTTTTTAGAAAGGTGTGGGTAATTAACAGTTAGTTTAATTACCATGTAACAGCATTAATCAGTGCCCAGAATAAATTTCGTAGTTACAGTTAACAGTTGTTTAAGATGGAGAGCTGTGGGGTCAAGGATGCAGTGATGACTAGATCCATGATGCATATTAAGTACATATAATGAAATTTGGAGTGGCATAATCCAGGGAGCCACTGCACTATTAATGTTTCCATTGTCTGATTTCTTGTTCTTTTCCCTAGCTCTTCGTGCCCTGGAAGTTCTTCCTCTTGCACTGCCGTGTCCTGCGCGGGAGCTGTCGGAAGCGGAGAAGCAGCGGATGGAGGACCAGGAGGAGAACACCCTGCGGGAGCTGCGCTTGTTTCTCAGGGATGTCACCAAGAGGCTGGCCACAGACAAACGCTTTAACATCTTCAGCAAACCGGTGGATATTGAAGAGGTCTTGTTTCCGTAATGTGCAAACAATGAAGTTGAAAATACTAGAAAAATGAAAATTAAAAAAAAAGAAATGGTTAAATTAATTAGAAAAATAGATGTTTCATCCATCATCTGTCCAATCTAAGATACTGATTTTTAGCTGGTGGTACAGGCACAGCCTCATCATCCATGATGCAAGAATTTGGAACACGTTCTGTTGCAAGTGACCCTTGGAAAAACCTTGTGCATTCTTGTCCATTTCATAAATTAAATGAGCATTTTAAAATATCAGCACTTGGCAGTGCTTCTGAAACCGTACTTGAAACCATAAATATAATTTTTTATTAAAAGCTTTTACAGCATTGTAATCATAAACATGATAATATTGGGAAAGTGATCTGTGTTCTGTAATGCATTCAGCATTAATAGTATTGTTGCATAATTTCAGCAGTAATGTTTGTGGATGTCATTAATCACAGATGGTTGCACATTATAAGGCATTAAATGGTCGATTATGGACTGTACACACCTAACTGAAGAGACAGTTTGATCTGCAGATCTATTTTCAGGTGCTGCTGTATGAATAGGATTGTGTCTGGTCTGACTTTGAGATCAGATGCTGTCCCGCTGCAAGCTTTGCAGGCTTACTAAGTGAAAAAAAAAAATCCCTAATTGCTTCTGAAGAGAGAAGCATCTCTTTTGGAAGATGTTAAAAGATGAATATGGGACATCAGAAGGCCAGCATTGTAAAAAGCAGATTTGGAGTGTAAATTCCTTGCAGGATGGAACACACGTTTTATAGGCTGATGCAGTCCTGTCTTAATTTGAGCTTTCCGTAGTGTTCCATAGTTGTTTTTGAAAGCCTGGCGAGCTGTTTAATGTGGCAACCTACAGTGTGAGCATGGTCTGAGCAGTAACTTGGTTTGATTTTTCATGTGAAACTGGGAGGTCCATTATTGTAGAAACTCTTCACATTTGTAGTGAAGGTAGTTCCTTTCTGTCAAGAATTTGTGGTCTAAACTTACATGAATAAGAACACACAGAGAAAGAACAAGTAAGTAACTGTCCATGTTTTGTAGGCGAAGAGAATAAAAATGTGAATTTGTTATTTGAAGACTTGCCAGAACCCTGCTAAAATATCACAGCACCAGAAATCAAATGTAATCCTTTTTGTCCCACCTGCTGCATTTAAGCACAGAACTAGCCTTTCTTTTTCTACAACAGCTTGTCTGCTTGACTTCTTTAGAAAATGTGTTAGGTTTGTTTCACTCCTACTTGCATTGCAGAGAATGTTGCTGTGTGATAAGTCAAGGATTTTCCTGACTAAATCAGCAGCAGTATTTACAGCTTCCAGTGAAGATTTTCTGATGCTGTGCTAACAAGAAAAGGAAGCCTGTGGCTTAGCTTTCCAGTCGCTGAACCAGATATTATCATGTTTCTGTAAAGGGAGACAAAAAGAGAACTTACGTTATTTTGTCAATATGAATTTCAATGTCCATATTTAAGGAATTAGGTGACACATTGCTGTCCACTGAAGTAATGCATTAATATTAGTTTATGTTGCAATATATGTCTGCAGGCACTGTATTAAAAAAAAAATAAATTCTTATAGAGCCATTTTGGCTTGATCTGAATATGTATTTAACTCTGAAGTGCTTTGGCAGTGGCCATCATATATGGACAATTTCAAAAGAAAAAAATGCAGTACTTTAGAGTTTAATTAAGTCTAATCTAAATCACAATGAAACATTAAATTATTTTTTTTTTCTGTGAAGTAAATAACAAATTCATAGATTTTTTTGGATGAACTTTGTTACAGCAGCCATGATGAAGCATTTGACTGTTAAGGCTGAGACCCTTATTGTATCATGGATTATGTTAAACACTTTTTAATGGGACCCACTGGTTGCTGAATCTCTAGTTTCAATCTAAGCTCATAGTAAACTGTGACACAAGGCTTTTTCTTTAGATTGTACTTCTGTACAGCCAATCTAACATCTGCAATCAATAAAACCTGACTTTTCTTTGTTTAATAAGGATTGAAGAAACTATTTAATAGAAGGTATTTAAAAGCTGATGATTTGCCTGTTAAATTTAATGGGAACTTTACCTACAAAGTGAACAAAATAGAGCTTCCCTAATTTTTCCTAGGGCTTCAAGTTAGACTGATAGGTTTGCCTTTTTAGTCCATGACAGTTACAGCACCATAAAAATCTGTAACTAAATCAGTCTAAAATGAAAAAATACATTTACATTGAAGTGTATTGCTTCAAAAATACTGTTTAATTAATTTTGAAAGATAAATTGGTGAGCTCCTGAAGGAAAAGCAGATTTGCAAATCCTGTGTTTTTAGCCTGATAAAACTTCCATTTTTAACATAAAAGTGCTTAGAAATCAAAATGTTTAGTTAATGTCTTAGAGCTAAGCATGTGGAATGAATCCAAATATAAAGATGTGATTGTCAGTGTTCAGTAAGAATGCCTATGGTCCTGTGTCATTTCTGTGTGCTGTTTGTTTATAGGTTTCAGATTACCTTGAGGTTATCAAAGAGCCAATGGACCTATCAACAGTAATAACCAAAATTGATAAACATAACTACTTAACAGCCAAGGATTTTCTAACAGACATTGACCTGATCTGCAGCAATGCATTGGAGTACAATCCAGACAAAGATCCTGGAGGTAAGAACCTACTTCTTTTTGGCCTACCTAGACCTGGAAGCCTGGTACTTAATCCCATACTCTGTTGCTATTCAGACATTTAGATAAGGTGCGTGCTTTGTGATAATTAGGATAAGCAAGTCCTAAGGGTCTGTGCTTTTAGTATTCTAGGGCATGGAGTGCATGGGGAACATTAGAAGAGCAGGAAAATTGCAGAATTCAGAGCTGTTTTCTAATAAATTGTTTTGTAGTTCCCTTTCAAATCTGATAGCTCCTTTTTGCTATCTAGACTTTATATATGCAACAAAACCCCACTGTAATTGGAGTCTCTGTAGAGACTCCTCAGACAATCTGGAAGTGGTCAGCTGTATTTCCATGTTATCTTAGAACATAAAGTTCATACACAGAAATTAAAATCTACGTATTTGGGAATAGAAATAAAACAGGATAAATCACCAGGAAAGAAAGTCAGTTGCAGCTGATTAGGAGAGATTAGAAAGTATTGTCTTGATAAAGTGTGATGGGATGCTTTCAGTTAAAAAGGAATTTGTAGACTGAAATGCATGTTAAAGCTGTTTACGCTCCAAACTAAGGAATGAACATCTTATGTGCTCTTAGCTAGGGCTGTCTTACAGTGTACATTGCCAAAAGAAAGCCTTTCAGCTGGCAGCTTTAAGAGTCATCAACAAAGCATCAACACAAAGCACCCTTTTAATGTAGAGTTCTATTTAATATATGTGGTTGTTGGAGATCTGGATCCATATACAAATAACATTGTGTTAAAAAGTTTTTCATTAATAGTTGTGAAATTTCTTTAGCAGGTTAAAGCCTGATTCTTCTGTATTTTTCTATTCAAATTTTTGTTCTTCTGATGCATTTTGCAAGTGTCTCATGTACATATACATAGAGATACAGTATAGTCTGGTCAGACTTGTTTCACATTGCTTTTTGAACCAGTTTGTATTTGTAAATGATTAACTTTATTTCTTGTGGTGGGTTTAGAGTTGGCTAAAATGGCTAGTGCACCTACTAGAATTATTTACTCATTTCCTGCTGTGAGATATGAATTAGGAGGAAGGCAAAGCAGACTCAAAACTTAAAAGGTATAAAGAAAATTTTATTAACAGAACTAAAAAAATAATAAGAATCAGAATAAAACCTTCAGAACACTTCTCCTCCCCACAACTTCTTTTCTTTCCCTTGTGCAATATAGAAACAAAGCCTGGGATTTTCAGGCAGCTACCACTTCTACAATAGACTTTCATCAGTTCTTGTCAGGAGAGGAGTTTCTCTTGCCATGCCATGGAGATTTCTCCAAACTAAACAGTTCTCTTGTGGCTTCATTGTCACAGCAAATCAAGGAGAGGAAAATCTGTTTGCAGTGTGGAAGTCCCTCCCATGCCTTGCAGCTTTCCCACAGCTGCTTTCATAGGCTGTATCAAGTTATGGGGTACTGTTTTAAGGATGAGCTGTTCTAGCATAAAACCCCAAAAGTTCTCTTCTTTTATCTCTAGGAACATAGGCTTTTCTTCTATCCCTGGGGCACAAAGTTTCTCATCTCACTCTTTTCAAGCTTCTCATTAGATTACAGCTTTTCAGCATCCACATGCTCCAGCAAGAGTGCCCTTTTCTCATGGGCTGCGGGTAGATGCTGCATCCCCCCATGCTCTTCATGAATTACAGGGAAAACACCAAGTCTGATATATCAAAAATATATCTTCACCATAGCCTTACTAAGAGAATTTCAGCCAAGACCAAGGCATCTCCTCAATCCCCTCCCAGCTAGAATTTGGCTCCTTTACTGACCTCAGTGTCCCATATTGTTTTCCTTACATGTCTTCACCCTTTCCTTTTCCTGATTTGGGAGAGAATTGGTGTTCATAGGTTCATTTGTTCTGAAGCTTTATCAATTGAAACAGTTTAAATGCAGTTCTGCAGTGCTGGAAGGTTGATCTCACCCAGGCTGTGTGTTGGGGAGATTGCTCGCCGTGCCTCTGGCTGCCGCTCACGGGGGTCACGGGTGCCGCCTGCCAGCTCCACTCAGCGCTTTTCTTCACACAGAGCCCCGAAAGCAAGAAAAGCTACTGCTGCCATTTTGTCTGCAACACAGCTGGATAAAAGTGGCTAAACAGAGTTCATTGTGAGCTATGCTGAGGCAGCAATGACAGTGCACCGTTGTCCCGGTCGTGCCGATTATTTTGGCCTCTCATTCCCGGCCACGTGGCCGCTCCCAGAACGGGCTGGCAACAGCCACTCCTGGCCCCCGGTGGCTCCTGTCCTCAGGGCTGCTCCCAGTGCTGATAGAACTTCCAGCCAGCATGGCCTGGTGGTGCACTGGAAAAAGGACCAGTGGGCTCCACCAGGACACAGGGCCTGTTGGACTCCCTAGTGAGGGGCTTGGCTGCCCGCTCACCTCGACGCAGGGGGCAGAAAATCTCGGCTGTGCCCCGTGGAGCCGGCCTGGCCGTGCAGGGCTGGTCCAACTGGCACCCAGGTACCTCTTCAAAAGCCAGAAGCCAAGAGAGCGATTTCCCAGGCTTACCTGTCTTTAAAAGGTGAATCTCACAGAGGTGGACTCAGCTCCTAAATGGTTCAGTAGGTGGTCATTTCTCAGAGCTAGCCAGCTATTGGTTTTTGCTAGGTACAGAGGAAGGTCTTAGCGGCCCCTTGCAGAAAAATAAGTTCTGTGGGTGACTTAATTCCCTTCTCACCAAATGTCAGTTAATACAAAACCAGCACATACTTCAGTTTATGATGCAGTATTTTCTTTCAGCTAAAACTGTCTATTTATTTTGTGTTCTTGATAACACACTTTTGAGGACTTCTAATGTGCAGTTGATGTGAGCTAATTAAAGCCCTTGATGGGCACTTGGCATTCAGAGTGTATCTGAAGAGCACCTGTTTAGGGATATTTTGATTTTCCTTGCTGTCAGAATTCAGCTGGGAAAAATTGATCTGGCTCTTTCTAGGCTCAGTTTTGGATAGGAGGTAATGAAAAATTGTTCTGTCCTCTGCTGTTAACCACAGAGCATGTATTGCTCTTCTGGCATGCAGGATTTCTTGGGCTGTTGTGTGAGCACACCTGAAACATCACATTATAGCTGTTCAGAGGAAGCATTCCATGCATGCAGATACATTCATTAAATTAATATTTACCTATAAATGCTCACATTCTTTAAAGCTGGACATACATGTTTGCCTCTACTTCATGCTTGAATTTGCAGAAGACTCATAGTGTACCTGCTTTTGTCCTGTTGGCTAAGTTGGAAAGGCAGGACCAGACTGGCTAATTTTATTGGCAGATTGGATTGCAAAAACTGGCTGCTTGGGGATTTTTTTCGTGGTACTTTTCTATACAATTTCAAAAAAGACAGGTTCTGTAGAAAGATCAGGTTGGGGTTTTCTTGCGTCAGTTTGATTGGGAAATGTTCTTGAATGCATGGGAACATAACCATTCGATGTAGGACATGAGTCTTTGCCTCACTGAAGCACTGAGGGAAAGTCTTGCCCAGCACAGGATCAGAGGAAAGTATCAGTTCAGTCAAACAACCCAATTTAATTCCTTTTTCTTTCTATCCCCTCCCTTCTCTTCCTCTTTTGCAATTTATTATCTACCAAAACTTTGAAGTTTAATATATCAAAATTATATCTGGAATGAATTCAGTGTGGGTTTTTTTGGGATCATAAAACATAATGCTTCACAAGTATGTGGGCAAAACCTTCCAACTTTGAGTAGATTTAATGGACAGTAGTTTTTCCCAGAAAATGTTGGGCTCTTCTGAGCTGGATACTGGATGGTCTTTCTCACTCAGCAGTTTTTTTCCATCTGTAAAATCTTTTGTTTCTAGAATTACAAATATTGCAAAATAAATATTTTGTGATATTCTTAACTGTTGTCTTTAAAGATTATTAAAACATTAAATCTGGTTGTAGAATATGTTCTGGACATTAATGTTGATGGTTACTGTTGAAGTACCTGCAAAGCTGGAAAAAGTAAATCAGTATGGGTGGATTGACAAATTAATTATGTTTGTACTGGAGTCAAGCAATGAGTGTTGTAGGTTTCGTTGAAAAGTTACGTTCTAGACGTCAATTTTCTCCACATATGGGCTTAGTTATTAAGTTACGATTACTTTTCAAATTTCAGTGGTGGAATAATTTGTTTTGTGTGTTTTAAAGGTAGGGGAACTGGTCTGTTTTTTCCTGAGTTGAATTTAGGCTTCCAGCATGGGCAATTTGTTCTGTTTCCACATACTCTTGAAAATGTAGCAGACTCGAGGCTTGTTTCTTGCCAGTTTTTTTTGGTTTTTTTAACAAATTAAAGTGAGAAACAGCTATTCAATGTAAGGAATAAAATAATGTGTTTTAGCACAGTTTTGATCAGTTGTTAAATAGTAATTAAGCAATAATTTCAGGTTAAAGAAAAAAGCAACAGGGAAAGAACGTAAGTGAGCCAGGTCTACCTTAGAGATGCAGATGATGTCCAGTGTGATTTTGCAGGCAGTATAACTGAATATTCCTTGACCCTAGTGGGTAAATTAATTCCTGGGCAAGTCTCCTGTTACTTTGGGACTCTCTGCAGTCTACTCCATTATGCTCTGTAGATCTGCCTGTGGAAACTGGCTACATCTTACGGCAAGTTGATTTAGGTGTGTTAATGATTCACTGTTTGCATTTGTTTATAGATGCCATCATGGATTAAACTAACAATTCAAACTTCTGAAAATTCCTATATCTCTTCAATAACTGGGTTGTGATTTTTGAGTGTGCTGTGGTATTGGTTCATCTGCATTTTCATACATCTGTAATTTTTCCCAGTTACATCTGTTTGTATCAATGTTGTAATATACAATGCAAATGCTACAAATACAGTAGAAATGCTAAGGTTTTTTTTAATTGTGATTAAAAAGTGTGCTGTCCTGTTTTCTAGATAAAATAATTAGACATAGAGCTTGTACTTTGAAGGACACTGCTCATGCTATCATTGCTGCTGAACTGGATCCAGAATTTAATAAGATGTGTGAAGAAATAAAGGAAGCAAGAAGGAAAAGAGGTATGTTTAACTTCAGTTATCATAACTCAACACATATAGAGGCCCTCTATAGACAGATAGGAATGGGCTCATGTTCACGAGCCCTGGACCTTGTGGGGGGCTTCAACCATCCCAGTATATATTGAAGGGACAGCACAAAGGGTCGAAATGATTCAGGAGGTTTCTAGAATGAGTAGAGGACAACTTCCTTCTCCAAGTCATAGAGGAGCCACCAAGAAGAGATGCTGTGCTGGACTTGTTTCTCACTGACAAGGAGGGGCTGGTGGAGAATGTGAACCTCAAGAGCAGCTGGGCTTCACTGATCATGAAGTGGAGGGGTTTGAGATCCTTATGGCAGCAAGAAAGGGTGCACACCAAAGTTCTGTTCCTTGGACTTCAGGGGAGCAGGCTTCAGCCTGTTCAGGGATCTACTTGATAGAGTTCCATGGGCTAAAGCCCTGGAGGGAAGAGAGGCCCGGGACACCTGGTTAATACTCAAGGATTGCCTCCTCCAAACTCAGGAGTGATGTTTCCCAACAAAGAGGAAGTTGGGTAAACACATTAGGAGGCCTTTGTGGATGAGCAAGTTGATGGTAGATAAACACAGAAGGGAGGCCTGCAGAGAGTGGAAATGGAGAAAGGTAGCCTGGGAAAGCTACAGAGAAACTGAGCAGTCATGGATTGAGTTAGGAAAGCTAAAGCTCTGATAGAATTCAACCTGGCTAGGGACAAGGGCAACATGAAAAGCTTCTGTATATATATGGGATAAAATTCACAGATCTCCATACAAAAATTTCAATCTAATATGAAATAAAGAATGTATGTCAAATTCAGACAGTGCAGGTTAAAGGAGCTTGAAAACCCTGAGCTTGAAACACCTCTACTTTTCCTATTTTGTGAGCTGATCTGATTAGACACCTCATCCTTTCCAGAAGAACGATGTATTGCCTACTATTGCAGACAGTACTATAGAACCTGGTAAACAAGTTAAATGTTAAGGTTGCTGTACTAACTTCTGATGTGGATGTAGTGGAGCCAGAGTACTGTTCTCAAAGTGCCTGTAATATGGTATAATAAGAATTATGATAAGGGATAACAGCCTTTAAACTAGATTTTTAGTTCACCCTGGCACGTGTACAAGTGTAGTTTTGGAGATAACACATTGATCTTTTTTGATTAAGAAACAGCCCTTGCAAGTCTGTGTACAACTTCAAAAGTGACCAGGGAAAGTTATCAGAAGTCCAAACATATTCGGTGTGGCAACAGGGCTTTGTTTACATAAAAAGAGTCTATCTCCATGGAAAAGTTTTAAAGTTTTGAAAGTTGAAGAAGGTTGAAAATCACTGAACTGTAATATTAGAACAAAATCTCATGCTGATTTAGGGATTACTGATTTCAGTAATTCCAGCTTTACCTTGGCAAGTTGTTTCCTTCTTTGGTGTAAAGCTCCATTATTTTATTTCTAGGTTGAATTGGCTGGTCTTACCTTTCAGCTGCTGATTCTTGAAATGCTTCTGTTGGTAGATTGAAGACCCTTTATTAATAAATTTCTTTGAACTATGCAAGTATCTATAGGCTTTCTGGTCTTCAGGTTAAAACAGATACAATTCTTTGTATTTTCCTATTCAGTCATGCATGTTTTTGTCTAATTTGTGCAAGCTTCCAATGTGTGTCTTGAATTGTGGATAAATGAACCAATTGTAATTCTCCGTGGCTGTAAAACAGAGCTAATATAATGCCTTCATTTCTCCTCTGTACTTTTCTGTTAGAACTACAAAAATATTCACAATTCTGGGCATGCTGTGAGCTGTGCTCAGTTAATTATCCAAGTCCCCATGACCGTTAAAGGTTATTGCTTCCGAGGTTAAAGTAAATGTTTGTAAGAGCTCTTTGTTACAGAGAATGACTCCGTGGCTTGGAGTCCTTTCTTGCAAGTTTGCAAGAACTGGAATGCTACCCTCCTTTTTGTGGCAGTGGCCCAGTAATAGATATTTCTGGGGACAAAGCCTGCAGAGTTTGTTGAAAGAAGGGCAGTGTTTTAAGTCATAATTAAGGCTGATGGTATCATGCAGTGAACTTGTTAACTCAGAAAAAACAGGTACCGTTATGAGATGCTGGTAAGAGGGCCTTCAGGTACAGGTCCATGAGGAGCAGCACCAGTTTGTGGGAGAAAACAACTCAAAGATTGGAATGGGCAGGATTCAAAGTGGATTCAGTACATTGGCATGGAAACAGTTCCAGTGTCACAAATATCTGCAGGTGACACTTGAAGATGCTTGTGCTTCTGGACCACACTTAGTGCTTTCAGTGACAGCTGAGCTCTGCAGTTAGTCCAGCTGTAGAATGTGCAAGGCGAAGATCACTGACTGAGTTAGCAAGGAATGCTAACCTAAGCAAGTCCAAAAGACTTGGAATTCATGGAAGAAGTTGTGTTAGATTAACTGTTTATGAACAGGGGAAAATCTATCAAGCTCTTGAGGTCTGAGGAAGCCTCTTGTTGGAAGGTGAGCACAAGGGATCAGGAGTTGTGTCAAAGATTGTGCAGAACACCTGGATGGTAACACTTCAGGAGTGTAGTCTTGGACTGGTCACTGTAATGGATGGAAGGGATGTGAATGCTGATCAGTTCTGCTGTCATTTTGCTGTAAAGAATATCCTCAGCAAGACAGTGGATCAGCACAATCACAGTGCATCTGCTTGTCTAGACTTTGATATGTACCCTGTTTCAGAGCAGTTTGCGCAAGGGATGAAAAAAGCTAAAAAGCTCCACATCCATTTTCTTCATAATTTTGTTACTTTACTATCTGCCAAATGTTATTATCTACCAAAACTTTGAAACAAGTTACTTGGCAATCTTATGTAGTTGTAAAATGGAAGGTATTTTCTACATGGCTTTTTTTTTCCATAACATTCTTGGTGATTGCTTTTTTGTTTTTGTTTTTTTATGTGTGTGGTTGTTTGGGGTATTTTTGTTTGATTTTGTTTTGTTTCATTTTTTTTCCCATGCATCTTCCATTTTTCCTTAGAACTCTGACTGGTGACCAGCCTCAAAAGTAGTGCACATAAACTACAATAAAATCAGTATGTAGAAGTCAAACTAGAATTTCTTGTTCCTCTGTTACTGAAATGAGGTATTGCTGTTGAAAGATGTTAAGCCTAGTGACAGCAAATTTTAAGTTGGTAAATTAAGATCTGTATATCCTAGACCACTGAAATTTGCATCTACTTGTGGAGACCAGCAAATAAAAAGGTAGAAGTGATAGTTGATTTGAGTAATTAAATATGTTAGATATGCAGTTTAAATTTTGAAGTTTTATAACACCTAGAAATCTATGCTGTAATTATTAATTGTGAGATGAAAGATTCTGTGTGAACCTTTTAATTTCTGCATCCATCAGTTCTGGAGCTTCTTGTCAGTGCTTGATCACTTGGTTCTGGTTTCTACTGGAGACATGGTATAATATTTTGAAGACCATTTTAGTGGATGGATAGGAAATTTGGATTCACAAATACAAAACTTCAGATATTCATTTATGTCCTTAAAATGTACTTAACTAATATGAAGGTTTGCTTTTTTAGAATTTAATTAAGAAACCTATGAAGCAGTAGAAGCTGTGAGATGGAGTTACGTTACAGGAAGCAAACCACACTTTCTGTTAGAAGCGGAATTGCATTTTTTTAATTTAAGAGCTCATACTGACTCCGAGATGGATCCATTTTACTTCACATAGATCACTGTGACAATACAAGTTTCTTATTCAGAAACTCTTTTTGATATGGCATACAATGCCATTATGAGTTGCTACTTATTTTAAAACTATCTGTTTAAAATAAGGAAAAGATTGAAATGGGCAGTAAGAATTTACTTGTAGAGGAAATATGAATAGAAGGGTCAATCTTTGGAGACCCGAAGATAATGAAAGACAGTCACATTTTTCTAATCTATCAGAGCAGACAGTTTAAGACCATGCAACCAGTAAGTTCTTTTGTCAGAAGAAACCAAATATTCTTGATTCAGATCTTTATTTTGAATGTCCAGCTAAATTTTAATGGATATATTCCTACTGCAGTATGGTGTTCCAAGTTTCTTCTTTGATTCAGTAGATTCCTGCAGCTGGTTTATTTAAATAGGTATGGTTGTCTTTTGCATGCAGGCTTATCAGTGCCAACAGAGCAGGTGACTCCTCATGGTTCCACTGTACGGAAAACAGAAGCCAGAGTTGAAGAGGCATTTCGGAACAAACAAAAGCCTGCCATGGCCGTGTGGCCCAACTCCACAAATAAATGTGCTTGTAAGTACCTTGGGTTATAATTTTGCAAAATTAGAGGTCCTTTCAATGGCAGACATTTGATATGTGTCTCTAGTGCTGCTTACTGATTATTTCCAGAAGTAATTATAGGCATGAAATACATAGAACTAAGAAGTACTCTTTCTAGCAGTCCATAAAATCTCTCCCCAAGAAGTTGTAAAGAAGCAGGATTTCTGGTTTTGTGATAATGAATAATTATTTTTCCAACGCGGTATGAGTACTTCGCATTTTTTGTTGTAAAAGACTGTTTTCAGTATAAGACAATTCAGATCCAATAAGAACATTTTTCAGTGGTTTGATGAGTTTTCAGGTTTGTTTACTCTGTGTATTAGCAGGTAAATAACCTCTACAGTGCTTAATACTCTCACTTGCACTACATGGAATTCCTGCCTTCAATACATTCAGTGTCATGCTGAAAGCTAGAAAAGAGATTGCAAATTTAACTGTATTTTCCTTTATGGCAATGGTTTTCAACAGTCACTAACCATTACTGGAGGATGTTAAGATACACTTCCTGGGGCCTATTGAATTAATCCAGTTGGGTGATCAAAATCTGTAGGATTGTGAGGTGTGATTGGGTAATCAGAGGCACTGCTAATTATTTCCAAGAGGTAAGTTGATTAGAAGAGCTATTAGAACATAGCAGATATTTTCATGGTAAGGAAAATAAAGAAAGACTATGAGAGAAAGTGAATATGGGGGATATACTGATAGTTGAACCTGGATTTCCTGCTGAAGATGTGGAGTCCATTATTAATATATTATTGGTAGCATTACTAATTATTGCTGATTGATGGCAGACTGAAGTGGACAAATTTCCATTTTGGTCTTTGTGCTTTCCTTCATGGTGCTTTTCCTTGATGAGAAATTGTTTTCTAGGCATGGTAATAACTGCCCAGAGATGAACATTGTTTATATATGAATGATAGTGTTGATGTCAAATGGTTTAATTAATTAGAGGTGTATGATTTTATTTCCCGAAGCTGTAATTTCTTCCGTTAAAGGAATTAAAGTCAATCGTACAGAATTATGGTTAGAATAAATTGTTATATAATAAATTGATGATGTGGATCCAAGCTGTTCTTCATTCATTTGGCAGCTCGTGCAAAACAGAGTGTAGGGAAGGGATTCCCAATTAATTTTTTTAAATTTCCTGTGAAGTCCAGGATGGAGATTCTCCCTCTGGCTGCTCTACAGAGCACTTTGCTGGCTGTGCATGCTGAGCAGCAGAAGGTGGGGTTTATAGACCTGCAAGCTGGACATCCCTTGGGAAGGGGGAGAGCAGCCCTTGCTGGTGACTCGCATCCAAAGCATCTCCGGTACCTCTCTCGCTTCCCCTCTGTTGTGGAGGCAGCAGCAGTTGTTTGAAAACTCGAGCCATCAGCTGCGGGAAATTGCCAGTGTCTCTGTGCAAACAGCAAAGTTACTGTTAAGGCACTGATCCTGTTGGTATTTTTGTGATCTAGCTTGGAAGGCAAGAAAATTTGAGGCTTAGTGGTGTTTGGGTCTATGATGAAATGAAAATCTGCCTTTTAAGGCTGAGTCTGGGAAAGGTAACGAGTCCAGGAGGGATGTGATGCATCTGGTAATCAAGAGAGAGAACCAGGAATTGATGAGCAATCAGAAATCTGTAGAAAGGGATTCAAGTAGTACATGGGCACTCTTGAAGATTGATGTGGTCAGTTCAGCAGAGACTAGAAATGAGAAAGAGAAATGGTCTTAAAAGGGTACTTGGAGGATAAGCTAGAGAAGGGTGAGAGCAGAACTGAGCAGATTGTGGGGAGCTCAAATAGCAGAAAATGAAACTGGATTGTGATTGTTTAAATGGAAGAAGTAAGTTTGGAGAAGGGATTTCTGAAGAGTGATTATTTTAGAGGGAGAGAGGAATTTTTTATTGACATGAAATAGTATTTTTTAAGAATTGCACGATCAGAGTAACAAGAAAAATTATTAAAGTAGTTTAATTAAATAGGATAAAACCATAATAATGGTTTCTTCTCAATAATTCTGAAAATAATTGGTTGTTTTCTACTGATTGAAATTGAATTAATGTTTTAGGGGAATCTAAGGAAAAAATCACCAATCATAACATTACTTTCCTGATCAGTTACTAGTTAAAAGGTGCAAAAAGGTTAATTCAGATGACAAACCTGAGAACTGTAAAATAAATTATTGTCAAGTTTCTTGTCTAAAAACAGAGAGCACTGCAGACAGTGCAGTGTCCTTGCCAAATTTAGGGTCCTGCTCAGGGCTAGTACAGTAGAGAGTGACAGTTAGATTATTATGTGTTGGTTTGTTTTCTGAGGTTATATATTTTATATAAAGCTTAATTTAGTGTTTAGTTGCGTATTATCTGTGATTCATTTATTTTTTCTGCTGTATTTTAGATATTTTGTTAATTTGATTAGACCAGATGGGCTGTTGGAAATGTGGCATGTAAGTCGTTTTTCTGTTTGAAGGCATGGTGATACACATTTCCTGAGTTACATTTTATCTGCAGCTCCCATTTCCCTTGTTGAAGGTACAGCTGTGTGGATTGTGTCTCTCAGTATAGATGAGTTTTAAAAGTATTGAATTACTAGAGGTTGCTGAAAATGTATTTGAGGAAGTTCTGCCACAATTTAAAATATTTCCATTATTTCCACATTTCCATGACTGTGTATTTTGATAAAAGTGCAAGTATTATGGTGGGAGCTTGGAATGGGACCGATATCAGAAGTCTAATAGAAATAGTTTTATGATTATAGAATCACAAAATTACAGTGATTGGAGGGAACCTCTGGAGATGTTCTAGTCTAGCTCCCCTCAGAGCTGTTTGCTCAAGGCTTTGTCCAGTTGTGTTTTGAACAGCTCCAAGAATGGGGGTCCTGTGTCATGCCTGGGGAACCTCTTGTAGTGCTTGGATACAAACAATAAATTATTTTTATTAATTTTGAGTGTCTTGTATTTTAGCCTGTGCCCATTGCCTGTTGTCACTGGGCACTGCTGAGAAGAGTCTTATTTTACCTTTGTATGGAGCTGTGTGGAAAAGGAAACTACCAGCAGTGTGCAGTTTGGTGTGTGTGCTAAATTAAATGGTTTAGATATATGTTAGCTCAGAAAGCATTAGCATCTCTTTAATCATTGGGATCCTCTATAATAAAATTGTATCCAACCGCTCCATTTTGCCAGTAGATGGGGCATGGAACATACTATTTTACTGTCTTGCACTTGTTTCTGTTAGTGTTACATATAAATAAACTCTGTGGGGAAGATTTGGCTTTGCATTCTTACTGGTTTTTTTCAGCATTTAATGATAATATATTGTAGTGATAGACTGCAGATTTTATGTTTTCTTCATAGAGAAGATGTTTTTTATGCCATATGATAAATAGCATAGCTGTGAAAATGGCATTTGGAGCAAATAAAGAAAATTTAAATCCTTTGTGTTATGCAAACTATTAAAAATACAAGTTTTATATGAAGTTTTATGAAATATGAAGTAAACACACTGCTAACTTTTCCCAGTAATTTAAGTGATTAGTGGTCTCTCTAGAAAGAGCTGTAGAGATACCAAGCAAGGATCTAAAAAACTATGGCAGAAAATGTTGTTTCTAAATAAATAATATTTTCTTTGCCTTTTTGTGTTGTTTTTTTTGGTTTTTGGTTTGCTCTTTTTCACCCTTAAATGGTGATCTTTGCTGTCCTATGGAACACTTTGTTTCTGCTTTATCATGGAAAGGCTTTTGTTTTGTCTGGAGTACTTTTTAAAAAAGATTCATAGAAAGAAAAGGTCTTTCATTTATTGTCTTTCTCAGAAATTGTTTTATTCTCAGTCTTTGTCTGATTTTCATCTCTTTAGTGTCTCTTCTTTGACCTTGCTGTTACAGTGGTGTCAGTGATCGCTGTACTTTAGGCTTCTGGGTCTGCAGCAATGCCTTATCAAAGGACATGGCAGATCAGATGCCCATATGGTTTTGATAATTCAAACTATTTTCTTCTTTTGCTCTGGTTCTGAGTTCGGATTAAAAAATTGGATATTGGCAAATTAACAGGCATTCAGATGCTAACATGAAAATCCTAGTAGCTGCTGTTTTGTCAGTTATCCTGTATTGGCTACCATTTAGTTTTCTCCCACTGCTTTCCAGATTTGACTTGGATTAATTGTCACTTGAGATAGAGGCAAGTACTGTCACTTGATAAGCACCATTAAAAAAGATTTTCTGGAATGTGAGGATGTCTTTACTCAGAGCTGGGACAACTGTCTCTTTTTATCTCTGTCATTTTGTTCTGGGTAGCGTAGGAGTTGGCATTCTGGATGGGAGTGGTTTGATCTCTTGTGCATGACACTGCCTTCAGCCAGATGCTTTAAAAAAAAGTTGCAATCATTTCAGAAATATTTTTTTTTTCATGCCTGTTTTTGAAAGAAATACCAATGTAGCTGATGATTCCAGGTTAGTTAGCAGTTCTTTTAAACCCCATAGGCTTTTAAATTCTTCTAATTTAAAATGCAATGTAGTGAATTTGTGGGAGTTCTAATAAATCTTGACTGCCTGTTCTTTTTTGGGATCCCATCAAACTTTTGAACTCAGTGATATCTAGTGACAAAGAAATTTTCTTTCATCACTATTAAATACCTGCCTATTGAATTAATCAAGTGTCTTTTTTCTCTGACAGAAGGCTAAGTGGGTTCTACAATTTACCTGATCAGTGACATTTTTATATTCTCTTGTTCTTTCTTTATAACTCAGTAATGCAAGATGGCTCAGCCTCTCTTAAGGTTTCCTTGAAAGCATTATCATCCCCTTTCTTACAAACATGGTAAAAAGATCTTCTGAAGTAGTTTGGCTGTTTTTTCTCCTCTAAGTGGTATGCACAAGTGATGTAATAAAAACAGTTTTCTGACCACATAGATCCCTTCCTTCTTCCCTTTTGAAAACTGTGGCAATGATTGCTTTAAATTGTTTTAAGACTTAGTGTTTCTGTCCACCAAAGTGGGTTTT